TTTCGATTATTTAATATTTACTGGACTACAATTGGACTAGATTATCTAAGTCCAGCTACTGACAGTCCAATGGAATGAACTGGACTGGAACACGTGTTCCAGTGGACTGGACTAACCCAAGTGACAACCCTGTTTATAATAGTTTCATAATCAGTTGAATAAATGCTATAATTAATTTTTAATAATCACTAAATCAAAAAATCTGCTTGTATGAACTTACCGATTTGGTTACTGAAAAAAGTAAAAGCAGCTGAAACACTGACTATATTGGGTTTGATTAACAGAATATGTTTTTTGAGAAAAATTTATCTATTGTATGTATATACAAATGTTTATAAATATTCAATGTTAATTTTTATAAATTTTATAATTTTAAGATTAATTTTTAGCTCAAATAAAGATTAATTGATATGCATTACAACTGTTCTTATAAATTCTGAAATTATTTGATTGAATTAAATAAATTTTTGAATTTTTTGTTATTAGAATTTTGTAATGCTATTATTAAGTTTCTAATTTATTAAACTACTATAAGTAGTTTTGTAGATAATATAAGAATTACACGATGATATATATATTTTTTTAATTAATATAAGTAATAAAATATTAAGTATTAATAAAAATAGCTTTTCTTGGCATTAGCTTGGCACCCCAAATTAATGCGGGCGAACTTGTTGTTATTTTGATATTGACGGGAAAATGATAGGGTCCTATCAAAATGTATTTTGCAAAAAAAAAAAAACCTATCATTGAAATTATGAGAACCAGAAATTTTTCTATTTACTACTGAAATAGTAGCATATATTACTGTCAAAACAGGACTTTCATTATTGAATTACAAATCTTCATATTGAAGTCATAAAAATATACTCATTGAATTATAAAACTGTTACAATTATTACTTATATGCTACTAAGTTGTAAAACCAATCATTATTAAATGCAACTACATCTGTTGTTAAAAACATGGACCAATCTATCATTGAAATTACGAATCTATTTACTTACTGCTGAAATTATAAACCTAGCAATTGCTAAATTATGAACCTACCACTTTTAAAATCTCAAATTTACTTATTCTTGTAATCGTGAACCCATCTATTGTTAAAATATGACTTCACACATTAATAAAATTATAAATCTATTTTAATGTAATGAATTTAATTTTATAATTTTACCCTTTTTTGGCATAAGTTATCTAACTAAATTATAGTATTATGATTGTAAGCCCTCGAAGGAGGCAATGTGCATATTGACATGAGGCTAAACGATAATGTGGTGTTTCTGATGTCATAAAGCAGGTTCCAGAATGTGTTCTCTTTCATATTAATCAAAATGTATAAAAGTAAGCATTAATTATAATAAATAGGAAACCTCATTCTCATAATAAAGTAACCTGAAATAATGATATTCTCTCCTTAATTAAACACTATCATTAAGTCGCTCTAATAAAATTTTCATGCTCTATAGAAGCCTTTTATTATTCAATCCACATAACTTCTAGTAGTGGTTGGAGCTACACTGCGCATTTATTGTGCATTGCTCTCCCAACCAACCATTACATTACTTACTGTGAAATTGTAACTGCAATTCCTATTACTATAAAATCAACTATTGTTTAAATCACTACTTATAGACCAGGCACTAGTAAAATTATGAACACATCAATTGTTGAAATTTCTACTTGCCTACTATTAAAGATATGAGCCCATCACTGTTAAAATCGTGAACCTATCTTATTTAAACTACTAAATTACTAATCTATCTGCTATTGAAATTACAAACCCACTGCTAAAAAAGGATTCAGTTTATTTTACTGACAGTATTATTCACTGATAAGTCTTTTTTTTTATAAATTACACAAAACTTAACTCTAATTCTAAATCTAACCTCAACCACAATGGTCAGAACTACGTTGTCAGTAAAATAAACTGTCAGTAAAATGAATGGTATTAGTTAAAAAAATTATAAACCTACATACCATTGTAACCACCAACTTACCTATACACGTTCTCGTTACTACAAGTCACGATTTTTCAAAGAAAAAGCGTGACAACATCAATTTGCATCATAATGATAAATTTTGAAAGATCTACATACAAAATTATATCATACTTCTTCCAAAAATAAATAAATAAAAATCTTACTTCTGAGAAGCTTGTCAACGAAGTGACAGAGCGATTATTATTGTGAGATCAGAGGATATAGATCACGTGTCATTTGTTATGTAGATTTATATGAGTTAGTTTGGTTAGTCTTTGTTGGTAGTTTGTTTCAGGTTTCATGGCGTGGGAATCTTGAGTAATATGTTTATTAGGGGGCATTGCTATTATTGTGAGTTTGTTTGTAAGTTATAGTAAGCCATGAGTAAGGAGTGGGAGAGCAGGCATGGGTGTTGGGACATTTCTGGTCAGTATAATAATTATTTAAGGAGTGTAGTTGTCTTTAGAGAGCTTATTTTTCTTTTCACTATCGCTCGCCTTATGTTAAGGCTGGCTCTATCTCCTGCCCTGTCTCTCCCTAGCCTCTTATTTCGTAATATGATGTATATTATAAGGGTAAGTTAAAAAAAGGCTTCACAGCTGCGTTAGCAGCACAGGGACCTCCAAGTAGGCTCCACGGAATGTAAGGACCTTGAATAGGGCTTCAAGGCTTTTCTCACAGTGCGAGGACCCATGTTGTAAGCTCCGCAGCTGTATTGACGGTGCAAAGACCTCAAAGTTAGGCTCCACGGCTGTTTGGGCAGTGCAAGGACCTCAGAACTAGGCGTAGCGGCTGCAGTAGCAAGAGCAAGAACTTGTACATATTTTGTTGTGTAGTCAAGTTTATTTCTTAGCCAATAGTACTAGTGTCTCTCCTCGATTCTCTATGAAGTCAAGTGTGTTACACGATTAGATAATTTAGGTTATATTAGTTTGGAAGAGACCTATACTTTCGGTTTGGTCTCGTGTGTTACGGTAGCCTTGAAATGGCGAACCTATCCCCATGTGTTTTTTCCTTAATCTTAGAAATAAAGTATAGGACTCTGATCGAGAAATAATAATGCTAAAAAAAGATTTTGCGAAAATCAACATAAGCGACATCAAAAAAGTTGAAGGAAACCATCCCTCCATTTCATGTTACACATGAAACGTGATCGTACTGGTATAAACAAAAAAATCCGACGGAATTTTGAAATCCATGTAATGCAAAACGAAAAATCAACTTTACGTGGCCTCACAGTGAGAATTAAATACAAAACAATTGCATATTGCTTTATTAAAAAAAAAAAAGATTTATATCGATGTTATTAATATAAATAAATTGCTATTTGACTACCGGATGTTAATTTTAAATTCCGTGCGTAACTGATTTTTTGGGTGACGGAAGGATGTTTTCCTTCCTCTCACGCCTGAGCCAAAAATATTAATGTTAATCAACTAATTGACTTTGAAAGGCCCAGCCTTGTACAAATTTTCAGTATGCGTAAAATTTATTGAATAAATATTGTATGATATAAATAATTCTATCAAAGCATAGAGATTTGTTTTAATAGTAAATTTATTTTTCAAAAATTCACAATTCACAATCCGAATTTCATTCACCAACGACGAGCCTCATTTTATCAGTGTTAAGAATATTTTCGGGTTTTAAAGATAAAGTAATATGTCCCCATTTTGGACTATCATAACCCAATATATTTATGCCATGCAGGCTAACATAAGGTAAATCTCGTGCATGGAATACAGGACCTCCACTATCACCATATTCAGATTCCATCAAATTTGCAATGATCAAATTCTCGTAAATCTCGAAACCATTTATAAAAAAACCATCGAATGATTTTATGTATCCACAAGTAACAAATGAAAATCGACCAGATTTACATAAATGAGCATTATGGGTCGATATAAGATCAAAATCACTTATAAATAGCTCACTATGTTCAAAAGAATCTGTATTCCTTATCTTTCTTGTTGGTTTGATAGTTCGATTTGTTATTTGAATAAAACCATAATCAGTTTGGTTTAAATCAAAAATTACCATTGGTCCAATTTCATCCTCGATTTCATCTGTTTCCCAAGGCTTCATATGAAAAATATTTCGCTCAGGAGTTTTATCATGATCACCGATACAATGTCCTGCAGTTACAATATAATCTTGATGAAGGTCATTTGCATCTTTTACCCAAAAACCCGCAGTGCAATCAGAATCGTCACCAGTATTGTATATACCATCTCCATTTAATATTTGTCTATTTATAAGATTTCGTTTTTGATCTCGTCGTTTTCTATGTGGAGGTCTTTTTCGTTTTGGATCTTCGAAATAACGTATAGTTGCGTTATATGGTTCGATCGCGTCTTTAAACGCTTTATTATCTTTATCAAAATCACGACTTAGAAATATGACAATGTTATTAACATCTCTTTCAATGTATATTATTACTCCAAGTGGCTCATGCGTTCGTGCTTCTTCGATTATTTCCGACACCAAGTTTTTTAAATGTGTTAGCGGATTTCTTGCTCGTTTAAACGATAGTGTGCCTATATACGGTTGTATCTGAGCTGAATTTAATATAATATCTTTCTTAGTTTCATCTACTATCCTGATAATTACTTTATGCCTATTTACTTCTATATAAGATCCTCCAAAACTATCTTCATTTTGATCTAGTAACGGCTTTAAAAGTACGTCTATCTTGCATAATAGCTTCTCAATGTTAAATAGCGCAGGTACATGATCTTCATCAACACTCCATAAATTCGCTAATGGCTCATACAAAGCATGAATCATAAAGCATTTTTGTATAAGACAAAAAAATAACAAATTCATTAACAAATCAATATTTCTCATACTGCAATTACGTTTATAAAAAAATAAATAAAGGTAATTGTGAAAGTAAATACTACGATATTGATAATAAAGACGGATGAAAGAAGACACTTATAACAGTTTAATTAAATTTTTTTGTTACTATTATGATATTACGTGCGCAGCATGGGTTTGATAGTATGGGTAAACGACTTTAAAAGAAATAAAAAAAGTGAATAGAGTTACCACACAAAACAAGACTAAGAATATTTATATCAAGAATTGCGATTCCACTGTATACAGTACCCAGGGTTTTATTCAAGAACTCCATTGTTAAAATTGAATAGTACCCATGAGTACTGTGTGAAGCAACGGGTACTATATTTGGGGTGTATACTATGTTAAAAGTAGTAGTTCAATATAGTTGTACTTCGGGTCTTATCAAAAAACAAGTAGTATACTCTCATTTTTTATCTTTAAATATTTGATTTATCTTCTAAATTTGTCATTTGTTGCACTTATTTATTAATTACTGTTGGCCCTCTCAAAACCGGTATGCATGGTGGACGGGTTCTGTATTGGTTTTGAGAGGTTATCGGATTTGACTTCCCCTGCAGCACCCACAAAATTTTTCCGGTCATGTGATGATCGTCACACAAAATTACTTTTTTGTCAAATGCGTTGAATACCAATCGAG